TCTCTACGAAAGCATATAAATAAAATATATTGCACGTAAGTTTGTTTATTTAATAGACATTAAATATTGACCAATTTATACAATCCTTTTTCCATCAGGGACGTCAACTTGTTTGACATTATAAATGTCAAATAATAAAAAAAAAAAACTTGAAACCGCACTGTATGTGGCCATTTAGGTTCAAGCGTGTGAGGATGAATTCCCTCTCGATGGCGAGCGGTGCGATGATAAAAGGTGGCTGTGAACACCATTTCAAACAATTATGGCTATAAATATTTATGGACAAACGTTATTGATATAAACATTTATGGTCAATAAACGTTTTCTATTCCGTTAAATTCTTGTTCTAATACGATACTTCTATATATATCTTCATTTGTATTTTATCTTATTGTATTTTATTTGAATTTTCTAATTGTCATTGTATATTTTTATGTATTAGGTACAATAAAGGATTAAATAAATAAATACGGACAAAGCAGTTTGTTACTTTCTTAGTAGTTTATTAAAAATAGAAAATAAAAACTCTTAAAACAGATATTTTAATTCGCTTATTAATATTTTATATATGTATGCTGTACAATACCTTCACTAATTCTAAAACGATTTTGATAATATTGATATAATTGTAATTTGATATAATTGTGATTTTGATAATATTGATATAATAACTTTTTTGCTAAATAAAGTCTGAAATTATTATCCCAAATAGTGATTTATCAATAATTGTTACATCATTTTTAGTCTTTATATAAATTTTCTAGTAAATAAGCGAGACTTTTAATTTTTACTGTGAATTTTCGTAAATTTATAATTAAATTTCCAGACCGCTCTAACTGTGTTAGCAGTTTTCCAACTATCGAAGTAACTTATTTACGAAGTACGTACGACCTCGTAGCGCACGTTTATTTCGTATGAATAAGACCATAGATTAAATTCTCGATAGACTCAAAATTAACACTGGCTGGCTGTAATATTTCTATTTTTAAATTAAAATCAGAATACGAATCAATCACGAACTAATTGGGAATTTTTAAAAACCAGGATATCTTTCCTTTGAAATTACTTTGAAAAGGAAGAGATTGTCTATTCGTTTATACTATTCCGCGTAGGTTACGGATTTCTTCACTGGTTTATAGCCGATTTTGAAAAATATTATTACTAAAAGCAATAGGTTAGTTTTTTTGCTTTAGCAAAAAAAAAAAATGCTTATAATACAGACGTACGATTCAGCGTTTCAAAATTTTAATATTTTCATTTTAACTATTTACAATTTAATACATCATCTTGTTGTTCATTACTAGAATTCATTATTTTTTTGTGGAGCAAATCGTGAGTTTGTTTCAGATCAGCTTGTTTGTCATTTGTTGAATTGAGATACTAAAACATTTACAGAAAAAGACTTTATCTTTTCTGTAAATGTTATAATTATACTTCTGGATGGTATATCAAGAGAAAATATACATTTGTGTTAGAGTTAGACCATTATAAATACAACTGTGTAAACCATATCCAATTAGGTACAATAGTTTTTGTATGATGTCGGAGCAAACATAAAGGTATATAGTTAGAAAAAACATGATTGTTTTATCTTTCGTTCCTCTTTTTAAGAGCTCTCACAATTTTTCTTATATATTTCTCATGTACAGACACTATACTAGTTACAATTTTATTATATTAGTAAAATATTTTATAATCCTTAACGACTTTTAAACAAAGTTATGTTTGTGGTATAAATATTAATTCAATTCTACTATTTACTTAAATCTTTATATATATATATATATAATTTAAATATTTCATATCTATTTCTATAACTCGTAAATATCTTAGAACCTTTCAAGACGTAGGCTTCACTTAGTATTCAGCGCGCTATTCTATTAACGTCGGCTTCAGTTGAATTAGCATCGGAACGTCAGCAACTGGTGCAGTAATATCCTTGTCATTGATAACGCGGTTATGCCAAATTAACACTACACTCCGTGCGATGCAGCACGGCGCGAGTGACAGTTGACATTTTGGCAGTTATTGCTTTAAAAGAACTGTAGACTGATTTATACTATTGTTTTATCGAATACAGTAAGCTTTATAGGTTATTTACTCGTAATTATATTTATTTTGTTTAATTCCGCTAAAGTTAGTATGTGTGTGACTGCCAACACTTAAAGACTTGACTATCGCTATTACTACCTGAAGTTCAACAACTTTCCATATTAGGCATCTATCTCCGGTTGTCATATTGTTCATGCACGTTTTGCAACACATGTTTCATCTCTAAACAAGGTATCTTCAGACAAATTATTAGATCGTTGCTCGAGCCTAGTGTTAACCGTTTGGTTGGTTCAAACTGCGCAATATGGAAGGTTGTGAAATTTCTGTAAGTAGTGATAGTGGTCAGTCTTCAAGTGTTGGCAGTCACACACTTACTAATGATAACGAAATGATATAAAATAATCAAATAACTAGTGATATGGGATTCCGCTCAGTAAAATATAGTGAACTTAAGCAAGTTACCTATGATTCAATAATCAGTCGCATCATGTTATAACGCATGAGTCTATATTCACATAGATTAAGGTTTTTCCATCTTCTTGTTGATCTTTATCTACGAAACTTACCGTCGTTCATCTTTATGTGTGTGTGTGTGTGTGTGTGTTCAGGAACGAATCCCCTTTTTTTTGGAGCAAAATGCTCTTATACCTATGTCTGTACTTATGCACGTACGTTGTTTTTGTGATATTTGTTTTATTATGTCAGTCGTTAACTGCTGGATATAAGTTTTCTCCATAAGTGGAGTTTTGCCAGTAGTTGCCACGCTTGGCAGGCGGGTTGGCGATATTTGTTTAGTAACACATAATTGATTTTATGATTAGTTCTTGTAGTTCAATAAATACTTGACAGTAATGATACATAACTAATTATTATATTTTTTTTTATTAACTAAAGAATTATTCAAAAACTGCTATGCAGTTATTATTTTATTTGTATACGATTTGATTAATTTATTGATAAGAAATGATAGTTGTTATCTATAGAACTAAAGAAAATAATGGACATCTTAGAATAATGGTTTGATGCCTAAGGCATTTATCAGAATTCAACTGAGAACTAAAATATTCTGTCTCTTGTATCAGAAATTGTATTGTTTTTTTAGTCCGATAAAACAATGATTCTATAAATATAATATATAATACAGGATATACTGAAATAAATGTACAAAATATATTTAAACAAACATACAAAATGTATACACAAACAAATAAATATTAGGTTCACAGACTGATTGAATTATATCAGTCAGGTTCTTATCAGTTTTTCTCAGTTGAAAGTATTTGATAAATTGGTCTGCTGCACAAAACAAGTACATTTTGTTTTGTACAAAAAGCAATTAGGGCGCACCGTTCATCTATAAGGTAAAATTGTAATTTCAGAAATTATTTTTTATAGAAGACAATGCCGGCCGTTTAGTTTTTTTTTCATCATCATATCAGCCGTTTCTTGTCTATTTCTGAATATAAGCATCTCTTTGGGGGGGGGGGGAGAGGTTTGATAGTAGTTGTCACGCTTAGCAGGTGGATTAGTAACCGCAGTTAGACTGATGATGTGCTAAGGGAGACGCTGCTTCCTATCTTTCTACCATTAAGTTCCTTTAGTCGTCCCTTTACTATATCCACGGGAAAGAAAGGGGTGTAAGTTTTAATTAATACGAGTTAATTCTCGATTATATCTGATATTGTTAAAAAAAATATAGACCGACCGTAGTTTTTTTTACAACACGAAGCATAAATGAAACATGCAATGAAACGATAAATAAACGAATATGCGGCTCACCTGATGGTAAGTGACTACCGTCGCCCATGATAACCCACAACACCAGCGGCGTTGCAGGTGTGCTGCCGGCCTTTTAAAAGGGAATATGCTCTTTTTTTGAAGGTTATGTTATGTTGTTATAGTGATATTCCTTGTGTTTGCAAGCATCCATAGGCTATAGTAAGCGTTTACTATCAAACGGGCTCTATAATTGTTTACCACCTTGCTGGTATTAGAAAAGTTATAAGTAAAATCTGCGAAACAGTAATTTAAGGTGATTAAAAGTCGCTTAAGTATTAATTAATTAGATCTTACTATATTTTGTTTTTCGCATTTTATTATTACTGTAAATCCTGTGTAGAGGCTGTCTGCGTGTAATCCTGGAACACTGAGACTCCGTGGTTTGGCTGAGTACGTTTTAAGCATGACTGTATCAGGTGGATTATGTTGTTATTAGATACAGATTGTGCACTAGTAAAATTAAATATTTATGATATGGTTCATATGTCTGTCAAATTTCATTTAGGCAACAAATCAAGCAATAAACATACAAAAATATGTATTAATTTCCATCTATATTATACTAAAATTAACTTATAACTTTGTTCGTGTAAATTAGGGTAAAAAGTATCATACGTCTCAATTTATAATTTAAATAAAATTTTGTATATTTATGATCCCATCTGTGTATTAAATTTCATACGTCTGTGAAATTTTATACTTTTATATATTATGATAATTTTATCAGCCTTTACTGTTCACTGCTGAACATAGGCCTCCCCCTGTCGGGGGATTTGCCAGTAGTTGTCACGCTTGGCAGGCGGGTTGGCAATCGCAGTTAGACTTTGATAATGTTTTAAAAGGGCTGTAGACTCCATTACTAACAATCTCTTTCTTCTCCAAATTATTGTAGTTTCATTCGTGTTTCTATTGTGAAGCACTTGTGTTGCATGGCTGTGTTCCGGTTTGAAAGGTGGGATATGGCGTGAATTTACAGGGACTTTACGGGACAAATATCAACGTTATGTAAACTTTGTCGAGAAAAATTATGTATGGGGGCATAAAAATTTTAGAAATGTTCAAGTGGGGCATGGCACAAAAAAGATTAGGAAACACTGGTCTACAATATATTTTATTAATTATTGAGATCTTTTATAATAATATTGAATTATTTTCTTTCGGTATTTAAGGAGTTACCCGTCGGCTGCCGCGGTTGGGTGTGTTCGTTCTTCGACGCGCGTCACGTGCGCGAGACCCTCACAGTGGCGTTCAGGAGCGGGCCTCGGCGCAGGCGGCTCCGGGTCTCGTTACTTATAGTGGTTGTGTGCGTCATATTTGGACCGTTACATGGTATGTATGACAAATCTTTACTAATATTATAAATGTAAAAGTTTTTTGGTTTCTTTATAGCGCTTTAACGGCTTCATCATCATCATTGTCATCATCATACTATATAAATGTCCACTGTTGAATATAAGCCTCCCCCTAGAAGGGCTGGGCAGTAGTTACCGCGCTTGGCAGGTGGATTGGTAACCGCAGTTAGGTTTTGGAGATGTTTTAAGAGAGACGCTGCTGTCCATCCTTCGCTCTCCCTTATTCGCTTCTTAGAACATCTACGGGAAAGGAAGGGGCGGCCTATTCTATGCCGGGACTACACTGAAATGGATTAACCAATTATTATTAAATTTGGTATACATGAATGGTATGCGTGAATTTACTGGGTACAGAGGAATAACACCCGAGTCCTCAGGAATGGCAACGCATGGGGGGTATCATGGGCGAAACAGTATACTCTGTTATGTCCATGGTACTGCTCATGTCTATAGGCGACGGTTACCACTTTCCATCAGGTGGGCCGTTAGCTTGTTTGCCATTCTAAGTTGAAAAAAAAACATGTATTGAAGAATAAAGGCTACTTTTTATTCTAGTTAGTGAACTTTTCCTGGTCACGCGGAAGAAGTTCGCATGGGTATTTTTTTTATGGGTGAAAATGGTATGGTAACCCCGCCTGCGCTAACAGGATACGCTGGCGGAGCACCAGTAAAGAAAACAGGTCTGTTAGCCTATCATGATGAATTCATCAGGAATTAACCATGATAGTCTCCAGGGAGAATCGCGAGGAGGTCGACCTGGTTGAGTAAATTGCTAGCAATGGGATTCTCAGTCTCCATTACTAACAATCCCTTTCCCCCTTGCATTGGTATAAGCTAGTATGGCAGATGTAAATGTATACATAATGTAAATATATACATATGCTTACATTACATACACATTACAATATCTGGTGTCGGGTTAAATACTTTTATTATAATTCATATAAATATATCTTCATAGTCGTAGAATACTGACAGATCTTTATATGTAATCTTCGTCAGATCCATCAGTATTCTACGACTATGACGATATATATGTAATAATACCTAATGTAAATATGTATATATTATATAAATGTATATATAATGTCCAATTTGACTCATTTTTGCATTTTGCAACTATTAGTATGTTATGTATGGTTAATATTTGACTACTACTCGAATGGTGGGTCTGTTACTTTGAGCATGAGGTATTGGATTCGATTTTCAGTCACTGTTTTGTTGTGTAATAGGTATATTTTAATTTGTGCAGGCGAGATGAACGTTTTGTACCTGTTCATGAGGTACAGATTCAATTGGGACGAGGTGCAGTTCAGTATGTTTTGTACATACAGCATCATTACCAACCTAGTAGGTATGTATTTATGTCACTAATACAAAAAAGTCTATATCCAAATTATTTTTAATAAAAATCTATTATCTATTATCTAATATTAATTTTTGGATTACAGACTTTTAATATATTCTAAAATAGATATACGACCGATAGGGGCGAAATCGAAATGGGTAACGACCTTTTTTCCGCCATCAATGCCCAGACAAATCCAATATATAGATATCGGATCGGTATTCAAATTACCTATGTTTAGTATAAAGACTCAATACCTCATTCCTCAGGATTGAAAGTTTATAAGGAGTAATATCACAGGCGTCACTGTATATTCTGTAATGTCCAGGAAACTGCTCATGTATATCTATATTCGATGGTTAACACTTTTCATCAGGTGGGGCGTAAGTTGCTTGCTATTTGCATAATAGACCGTGGCTCGTTTTAATTATTTCTAATTGTAGTTGGTTAAGGTTTTTTATTACATTTCACAAAGCGTAGAAAACACGTTCGCACGGTCACTTGAGATTTTTTTTTATATTTTATTTTTTTCACATTTTTTTAATCACAGTAATTATTTTGTATTTTTTTTAAAAAGTTGCAACTACTCATTAAACAGTTGATATTTTGAAAAATTATCGACTTTATATAGACAATCTCCATTGCGTGTCGGCGGGAAAGCTGCGTAACGATTTCCTGGTTTCGATTTCCAGTCAGACCAATTTATGTAACGGATTTTTCAGACTTGCATCAGGTTTAATTTTTTTTATACAACTTAGAATGGCAAACAAGCTGATGACTCACCTGATGGAAAGTGGTAATCGTCGTTTAGACTCAGGTATTATTCCTATGTATCCTGTAAATTCACTGCCATACCCCACCCTTCAAAACGAAATACAGCCATGCAAGCACAACTGCTTCATGGTTGAAACATGAATGGGACAGAAGTACCCAAGCAAACGACTTTATTACCAAGTCTCCCTCTGGTAAATAATTTTAATTGTTCCGTCTTGTCTCTCTTAAAGACATCTGGGGGCAGATGTTTGTTGTCTAGTTTTTATAATACATGGTGTTTTAGTTTGAGGATCAGGTGATTAGGCGTCATTTATAATCAAAGAAATCAAATCTCCCTTCTGAAGGAGGAGAGGTCGTAAACTAATTTATTATTATTATTATTTACAATTAATATTTTTAAGTAATTATTTAAGACGAAATTTACTGTTTATTTTATATATAAAAAAAAGAAATCCTTAATTCATCATAAAATTTTCAAAACGTGCTGAGATATTACAAAAGATTTATAGATGCCAACCAGGAGTTGCAAATTTATGTTAACGCCGAAGTTCAGGCTTATATTGATTTTATTACGGCTCCAATTTATAATAATGGTGCTGTCACGCCCTTTATTAACGGCCACCATCGTAGTTAGGTATATTAAAATCATGTAGATAGATAGATAGATAATTTATTTGCATTACTTACAGTACACAAATTACAATACATACTTACACATAATACACAGTAAAAGAGATAAAATAATGAAAAAAAAAAATCATTAAAAAAAAAACCATATAGCAAAATATATAAAACAACAATTTCCTTTTTTTCATGCGTATTTAGTAACACAAAATGGTCACAACAAAGTTTATTGCTTTGCCCTCAAAAGTGCAAAACACTGATATTCTGTTGTAGCCAAGAGTCAGTCGCGAAATTCCTTATTAATAATAATAAAAAAAAAGAAATATGAATAAAAGGCATTGTGTGTGTCCATTAGATTTGCCTCCATTTGATATTATATTTTAAATAAATAAATATAAATAAAAGATACTATTAGATGAGGGGTAGTCAGAGGTCACTTTCTGTCACATTCAGGCATATGTAAATGATTTATAATTCAGTAAGTAATGTATAATAATAAACAATTATAATTGTTTTTGTTAACTCAATGCACCGCAATTTACTTTCTCTATTTAGCGTAACGGTTGCCTGGTAGAAAATACCTCTAGGTATTAAGTTCGCCCTGTAGACATATTTTAATATGTACAAAAGTATAAATAAATAAATAAAACGTATAACATGTAATAGTTTTGGTTCTAAAAAAAGAGATCTTACAAGTGGACCCTTGTATGTTTTTCTATTGTTATATATTATATGTACAGCCTTTTTTATTTTAGTTTAGGTTTAATATATTTTTTATAGCATATCTATATTTTTTTTTATTTATTTTAAGAATAATCACTTCACTTAAAGTTTCCTAAAACATGCAATGAGTCATAGGTTCATGTTACAAATTGAAAAATTGTAAACAACATTTAAAAAATCTATTTAATTTTTGTCATTAAAAATATCTGGTTGCTGAGCAATCAGATAATTGAGCAGAGAAATAGCCTGATAAGTGGGAGTAAACTGAGCAGTACAGGTGCGAATCCTTACTGTTATTATAAATGTGAAAGCGATAAAATTTTATATATATAAATTTTATATGGAGTAGAGAAAGAAATTGGCTACTTTTTACCGCGATCAGTAAACATATTCCGGTCACTCAGACGAAGTCGCGGGTAAAAATATTATAAAGAGGAAAGATTTGATTTTTTGTATATTTGTCTGTTACCATTCAACCGATTTTAAAATATCTTTCATCTATAAAACATATACATTATCAGCGCGTAACAAAGACTAATTATTATTTTCAAAAAATTGTAAATTCTTACGCAAATTACAAAAATTTAATGCAAGCAGGGCCAAAGCTAGCTAACTTTGTGGTAGGGTAAAAGCCATAATTAAGTGACTTCCAAAAACCATATTGTTTAATTTCTTTGAGGCCTTACATTCTAAGGATGGGCATCAGGTTTTTTAAGGTAGGGCAATGCCTCTCAATGCCCCTCTCCCAGCCGTAGCTACGGTCATTAATGTATAAAAAATTTGCCTAATATAAAATATTTTCACTTCTTCTTCTTATCTACATTATGTCTACCACTACAAAGAAATTAGGTCACTTTCAGAGACTAAATAAGTATTATTATGGTTTAACAGGTACCCTGTTCTCTATCAGCATCTTCAGCGACTTTATGAAGCTGGACGACACTGTCGTGGGCATCATATCATGCACCAGCAAGATCCTCGCTTCTTTTATATTTGCTTTTGCCACTACAACGTTGGAAATTTACATAGGTATCTAATGTAACATAATGATAACCCATAGGTATACATTATCATCATCAACACCATATCAACCTTCTACTGTCCCATGCCTTCCCCAAAAGCGGGAATTATGCCAGTAGTTGCCATGCTTGGCAGATGGATTGGCATCCGTATATAGCTTTTGGTGAAGTTCTAAGAGGGACGCTGCTCCATGTTTTGGCCTTTAAGTTTTATATACAGATATATATTTATTTATTATCCAAATATTGGCTACACATTAATTTTGTTTTGCGTTTAGATATAATTTTAACATAGATTCAATACAAATAATATATAAAAAAAAATCGTTGCTAAATACCATTAAAAATATTTTAATGTAATAAATATCGGTATATAGTTCAACTTAGGTGTAGATCGAGAAAGTTCGAATAGTAAGTTAAACCCGTAATTAGTATATTTAAATATAGTGTTAGCTTACGAAACTTTTAACATTAAAAAACCATTAAAAATGGCTACTTTACGATAGTTATCGTCTGTAGGATAGGAAAAATTACCTTAAAAAAGGAAGCACTTAAAAACTAGAAGAGAATGATTAGACAAAGTCAAGATGATTAAGAACATGTTTTGGAACGTAAAACGAGCAATTGCTTCGTGAATAAAAAATGCTAATTTACAGTATGTTGCTATAATTATGTCACATATTTGTCACTAAATCTGCCCTTTATACGCTTTCTGTTTTTACCTAATGGTTAGCTGGTAGAGAATGCCATATGGCATTAAGCTCGCCACTTGTACAAAGTTTTATTGTGTAATAAAGAATAAAATATATAAATAATTTTAATGTAAATGGGATAGAATTTATTTATTTATATAAATAAATTATAATTGTGTTCAACAAAAAAACTGACTGCACAATTGTGGTAAAACCAGTTGTTTTGTTTTAAAAACTAAACTACAAAATCGATTTTGATAAAATTTCTATGGGACCAGTTTGTAACTATATTCTTTCAAATAAAAAAGAATTATCCAAATCGGTTTGAGTTATAAGGCAACATTTTGTCGTCGGCGTTTAATATCCAAAAATATTTGGATTAAAATATCTTTTTGGTTGTCAGTTTCTCTTGTGAAAGAACGAGATATAGTATACTTATTGTTGTACTGTATAGAATGCGTAGGTAGAATGATTCTGTTTACCAGCTGTAAATAATAGATGAAAGTTATTTATTTTGCTAAGACCACTTGCAGGCACAGGTAATGAGTGCATATATCAACATGGAAAAGACTTATATGTCGAATTGAATCCGAATTCTTAATCATGGGAAATTTTATACGTAGTAAACGTTTATTTAACTTGCTGTTTATATTAATCAGTTTGTTTAGGTCAAATCTTGAAAACTGAATTAGTTACCTATTCCTCCTAAATAATTTTGCTTAAATTTTGCATATACCTTTAGTTCTGGTAATAATATAATATACAAAACTACTCAGTATTGTAATAGTTTCAAAATGGCTGCCGCTACAAGATGGCGAATAGTGTATTTTGCAATAATATCTTATTAGTATTGAATTTTAAATGAAACTTTCTCAACTTGACTAACCATAACACATAACCTGTTATTGTTAATTTAATAGTATATTTATTAGCCTGTATTTAATAATATTTTTAAAATAAATAAATAACTAATCAAAATTGATAACTCCCTGTTTTGTTCCAGCACCTCTGGTGGAGATCTTCAATGGCACTTCGTTCATCGCGATGCGGTCCATTGCCTCCAAACTGGTGACTAGTGAAGAATTGGGTGAGAGGACTTACATTTTTATCATTATTATTATATCAGCAATTAACGGTCTACTGCTGAACATAAGCCTTCCCTGAATAGGGCTTCGCCAGTTGTTGTCAAGCTTGGCAGGCGGGTTGGCAACCGCAGTTGATTTTTGGTGATGTTTTAAAACCGACGCTACTGTCCATCCCTTTGCTAATTAAATTTTCTTAGTCGCCTACTACGATACCCATGGAAAAAGAAGGGGTGCTTTATTTTATATCGGGACCACACGACATTGGGTGGGGGAACTTACTTACTACCTAATTATCTAAGATACTATAATATAATATAATATTAAAAACGTGAGTCTTTGTACCTTATAATCTATATGGCTGTTCATGTCTATAGGCGTTTAAGTTTTTTTTAATGTGTGAAAATGGAATGGTAAACCCACCTGCTCTATCGGTATACGCTGACAAGTCGTTAGTGAGAGATGATAGGTGAGGATGACAGCAGATCAGCTGGCCCCTAGTGACGAATTTTTTTTTATACAAATTAGAATGGTAAACAAGCTGACGGCCCACCTGTTGGAAAGTGGTAACTGTCGCCTATAGATGAGCAGTACCATGGACATAACAGAGTATACTGTTTCGCCCATGATACCCCCCATGCATTGCTATTCTTGAGGACTCAGGTGTTATTCCTCTGTACCCTGTACGAATTAAAAAAAAGTTAACCATGATGGTTTCCAGGGAGAAGCGCGTGGAGGTTGAATTGATAGGGTATATTGCTAACAATGAGCCTGTGAGGCTCCATTACTAACAATTTCTTTCCTCCTATATTTTATTTATTTATGTAAATAACTTTATTGACCAAAATACAATAAGGTAAAAAGGCGGACTTAATGCTAGAAGCATTCTCTACCAGTCAACCTTTGGGATGAATAGAAAACGAACGCTGTACTTATATATATGTTATGGTATCCCTTTTTATCAGGTGAGCCGTCAGCTTGTTTACCATCCCGTGTTTCTTAAAGAAAAAACTTATACACGCTTCAACGTCTGAACTCCCAATCCCATCAGCCGTTAACTGTCCACTGCTGAACATAGGACTCCCCTATAAAGCGATGTTTTGCCAGTGTTTGCTTGGTAGGTGGACTGACAACTACAGGCTTTGGTAATGTTTTAAAAGGGACTCTGCTGCCCATCCCTCGGCCATTAGAGTCTCCTAGTTGCCTCTTACGACACCCATGGCTGATCGAAATTACATAAGATTTGGTACACAAATGGACCATATCCCAGATTAACATATAGGATATGACACTATTTATATTAATTAATATGGGCTAAGAATCACATTACATGAAAATTTATAAATTTCTCACTGTACCCGATGATGAGCTTTGGGATGACTCGAAACTCAAACTCTGAGATTTGATGTATGTAAGTCTGCACCTGATGACGATAATATCTTTGGGATTTATTTATTTATTTATAAAAGACACACCAACAATATGCTCACAATAATTAAGCAGACAATATACAATGTTATTAATAAGTAAAAGAGAAAAACTACTATTCAAAAATGCTTAAATCTAAGTTTGAACAAAAAAAATCTTACTCCTCACTACCAAGCTTAAGGCCATATGAACACATCAATTAAAGGTGTATACAGCTCTCATACATAAGCGTCAATGTACACCAACTAACAATTATACAATTAGAAAAGACCTAACTACCAATCCATATTATTAATAAGCCTAGTAAACTGCACTAAAGAATTACTAAGATGATCTATCTGGAACCTGAATTCTGAGGCCTTGAACCGACCCGCCTGTTAATTAGGCTATCTATTTATAGTATCTGAACGGTCGAATTTACGAATTTCTCTCATGAAATATTATTAATTCTCGTAAAATTGAATTTTCTCCCAAATTATTATAGCTGTTTAGATTGGCTTGTCATCCCTGAACACTCCCTTGAACCGAATTTCATCGTGACACTATCGGAAATCCTTTTATATTAAATTTAATATTGTATCGGTCGTTATTAAAATTCGTCCAATTATGATGTATATGCGTATGTATATTTTATTAATAATTTTTTGTGCATATTTATGGTATAGATATTGCAATAATATTTATTTATTCTATAATATATTTATTTCACAGTAAGTACCTTTTTGCTAGTTCGTACGCCTGGCTTTAAAAGTAGGCAACCCAATGATGTACGCGTTTTCTAGATGGCGTATCAACATAATATCACTACATCATTCTCTCTCTCTTCATCCACTTCATTACTGAAGGTCTTGTTCTTGAAAGGTGTCTGTTTTGAAAGCCTTTCTTATGATGTTACTCCATTTCGCACGGTCTTCAGATTCTCGCAGGGCAACTGCAATTGACAGTCCCGTAACGGCGGTTACTTGGTCAGACTATCGATTAGGCGATCGTCCGCGTGGTTTTTTTCCCTCTATCTTGCCTACAACCATTAGTTTGTCCAGATTGTCGGACTGTCGTCTAGCAATATGACTGAAGTATCAAAAATCCTCCGATAGCAGACTGTCAAGAGCCTATCTTTTATGCGAAGTTGCGTCAGGATAGATATATTCGTGCGCTTTGCTGTCTAGGGAACTACATTATTACATACTATAAAAGTCCTCCGCTGCGTCTGTCTTTCTGCCTGTTCGCGATAAACTAAAAACAACTGCACCGATTTTCATGCTGTTTTCACCAATGGATACAGTAGTTCTCAAGGAAGGTTTTAGTATATAAATTGTTATGTTTTTGTATATACTGCTAATTTATAACGATATTTGTTGAATGTCTCGGAAACAAATAAGCCATTTGGGAGCTTTCAACGAAAACGCTGCCTAAACCCTTTGTAATATAACATAATAATGTATGGTGGAATAGTGTATGTTATATAGGTGTACAGAAAAGTCCGAGATGCATGCAAACATAACTGCTGTACAGTTGAAACACGAATGGGACAGAGGTACTCAAGCAATCGACTTTTGTACAAAGTTTCTCTCTGGTTGTTTTGGCTTCTATTGCCCTTATAAAGAGATATCGTATAGTTATAATAGCTTGTAATTAAAATTTTCATATATAGACGTATGTTTTTTTTCTTCTTATTTAAGAGTTTTCTCTTGTCGTGGCAACTAATTCATGCATTCTCTTCCAGCCAGCTCTATCCCAGGCCATATCTTCGACCTCCCTATACGACATGACATCTAGTGTTTCCTTTATCTGTCCCATATAGTTTTTCCTCGGTCTTCCCTTTTTCTTTTGCCCTTTATTTTTTCTTCTACGTCCTACTTCCTTATGTACGTTTTATTAATGATTTCTTGTGTATAATTATGGCATAGTCTCTTTCAAATTTAAAAAAAATTATATATGTTATTGAAATAAATGCATGTACAGCTCATTATTATAATCTTATATTTATGTTCTATGTATTGGTCTATCATCATTCCATGCCCCTTTTGAGGTAGGCAGAGAGAAGCGAATGTAAATACATTTATTCTTACATCTTTTGCTTTATCCAATTTCATAATTTGTCTCAGGCATACATGCTGGTTTCGAGGAATTTTAATAAATATATACAGAATACTTAAACTATTGTAAATATACTTACATACTCTTAAATATAATAAGTGTTTGTATTGTTCGGACATCGAACTTGCGACCATTGGTAGATAAGGCAATTGCCGTTAAAAGTAATACACTGCTAAAGTTATTTTAAATATAACGTATAAATTATTCGTTTAGTTATAAATAAACAATTCATACGCTATTGTATCACGACCTTTTAATATTGCACAAGATTATATATTCACATAGATACTATAAAAATAGATGAAGTCAAACGACATGAGTACTAACAAAATATTTACCATTCATAGTGCTTTTCGTATATAACTAACCTCTTATAAATACATAACTTTTTTTTTCCTTTTTTTAACTTTTTAATTATTTTGAATTTGGAACACGTTTATTATTTTAAAAACTTTTATCGATTTTGCACCATTTCACATTTTTTTTTGTGTTTATTATCAAATTACAATATAGAATGGGGTTATAAAGAAAATAGGATTGCAGTGATCGCCTTGCACAAAGTGGGTATGATGCCATCGGTCGTATTCCACACACTTCAAAAGCTTAGTATCAGCCGTATGTTCGTATATCGTACTATCAACAGATACAATAACACTTCGTCTGTCCAAAACCAGAAAAACGCGGGGCGGCCGCGTACTGTTAGAACTATAAAAACTGTCAAAGCCAGAATTCGACGAATTTTGAAGAAAAGGTCTTATAGCTCTTTAACGCCTACTAGTGTAAAAAAATAGAAACACAAAATGTAAGATTGCGATATCTATTTAAATCATGTCTATGGCAGATATGTACTCGTATTAATATTATTTGTGGTTAGCACTTGTGAAAAAACTGTCAAGTGTTAATTAGGTACATATTTGTTTTGTGAATAAGTAGAGAACTTTACATAATAAATGGGTTTTTCTATATCGATATTAGTAAGGAAATATCGTGCAATATTTTCATAGGTAAAATAAATAGGCAGTATTTTAACTGATTTCAAAGAGTAATTTATTTAATCAATACTTTATTTATAAGATATCAGCTTGAACCCTTTTACTCAGTGCAACGACGAGCTATGAGAATTGTCGATGATCTCAGGCTCACAAGTGGTATCGAATTTTTAAGTCTTAGGAGAGATTTTTCCTCACTCTGCGTGTTCTATTGTTTGTATAACGGACTGTGCTCAGAAGAATTGTTCAATATGATGTCCACGGCCACCTGCTACCATGAAACAGCTCGCTATCGATAGAGAGTGTATCTTAGAGCCTAGATCGTCGCATACAGCGTGACTTCCATGTTTCCTTCCACGAACGCTCATGTTATGTCAAGGTTTTTCCAAGAGACTACAGAATGGGTTTTTGCAAAAAAAAGGGTTAAGAGGTTTCTTGAGAGTCGGTAACGCGCGTTATATCTCTGGTATTCGTATTGCAGGAGTTTATAGGTTAAGGTAACTGTTTACCATTATGCAGGCCGTATGCTTCTTTGCAACCTCAGAGGTATAAAAAAAATATTAATTATTTTAAAACTAGCTTTTACTAATGACGTTGTCCACGTTGTCGATTATTTGATGTACCGTTAAAGCACTAAAAGATAACAAACAAACAAACTTACTTTCACATTTTATAATATTAGTAAGTATTAATTTTAATTAGAATAGTCTACCTTTTCCTTTCCCGAAGGCGTTGTAAGAGGCGATTAAGGGAGGGCGAGGGATAGACAGTAGCGTCCCTCTTAAAACATCTCTAAAGTCTAACTGCGGTTGCCAATCCGCCAAGCGTGGTAAGTACTGGAAAAACCCCTCACAGGAAGGGCTTATGTTCAGCAGTGGACAATCTGAGAATTATACGGCCCCCATGTTCTCAGTGAAGTATTACATTCATTACATATCTAATAAGAAATCTGTGTCTGACATATCTCAGGTGTTTTAATCGACTTAAGAACGGTGAATGTTCTCGAATCCCAATTAACCTATATTTTTGTGTGTCTGTATGTTACGCGATATCTTCACTTATTTTAAATATTTTTTTTTTATTTTTTCTTCGCTATCGACAGATTTTACTCCTGTGTTGATTTTATATGATAACTTTAAATTGTATTCCATAAAATAACTGTTATTTTAAATAAAATAATAATATAAAGAATAACTAAATTAATTTTGATAAAAAAAGGTTTCTGGGGCCAATCAGTATTTCCTTTCAGATAAAAAAAGGAATTTTCCTAATCAGTTTATAACTGACGACTGATTTAAGGTAATAAACATAAAAAAATACCACCGAATTGAGAGTCCCTTTTTTTCTAGTCGGTTACAAATTACATGATATCTTCAAGAATTTTAAATTTATTTTAAAAATTTTGTTATTGAAAGGTAATATCTGATATCAATATATTGAGTTATTATGGACACTGATGACAAGCCATTGCGATATCGTCCATACTAGTCGGATATTTGTATTCATTACGAGTGAGTTTTTGTTATCGATATTAAATATTGGATAACCGATATCTGATATATCTGTTATTGGGTCAATATATGTATAGCTATTGTAACTACAATATATAGATATTGCTACATTTTATTTTTAATGGCTGAATATGGAATGATAACCCCGCCCGCGCTATCGGTGTACGCTGGCGGGGCACCAGTAAGGGATGACAGGTGAGGATGAAGCAGGTCAGTTAGCCCATCGTAACGAATTCAACAAGAATTGTTCACGATGGTTTCCAGGGGGAACCACGTAGAGGTCGACCTGATAGTGTATTGCTAGCAATGGGTTTATTAGACCCCATTACTAACAATCCCTTTCCCCCCTATTGCTACATATTACCCATTCTTAAACGTAAGGCTCCCGTTTCAGTCTTATTTTTTTTGTCACAATTTAAGATCTTGTTTTTTTTATCTGTTCTATGATATCTATCTAATGGTATTGTCTTTTACGTAGGTAAAGTGAACTCCCTGTTCGGTTTGGCGGAAGCGATGATGCCCTTGGTGTACGGGCCATTATACTCAAGAGTATATATGGCAACACTGAATATACTGCCGGGCGCAGTGTTCCTCTTGGGCGCCGCCATGACAGTACCTGCTGTTGCCATATTTGGGTAAGGATTTTTATTTATTTTTTAACTTTAAATGGAATATTTAAAATTAATTTATTTAAATTATTAGAAATGTTTTTGATAAATAAAAATGATATTCCAGTAATTATCAAGTGAATATTAATTATGCTTATTTATTCACTTATAAGAAAAGATGTGTTGTGTTTTTATTAATGGATTTTTTTTTAATTATTTACTATTATTAGGCATAATTATTATGATGTGACAGTGATTTTAGTAGCTTGATAAGTCGTTTAACTCAACCTACTATAACCGGGTTTTCAATTTGATTATATTTTTTTATTATCTTATAATTTCTTCATTTATAAATCGATTTGGAATATTCTTTATTATTTGAAAGGATTTATCTTCAGATTAGTTCCATGGAAATTTTATTAAAATCGATTCAGCAGTTTAGTTTTTAAATCAAAATTAAAATTCGGTAATTTTTTTTTAAACATGGTTTTAAATTAAATACTATATCTACTGAATTATTTTATTTACAGGTGGATGTATTTCGAGCAGAGGGAGGACAATAAAGTAGAGGAAATCGAGAATGTCAATAAAGAGGTGTAATTATGTCCATATTTAACAATAGCATGAACATTTATATTTAAGTGAATGTGTCAGTGAGCGGTCATGTTGTTATATGTGAGAAACGTCTAATAAAAGTTGTCTAACGAAGTTTGTTTTGAATTTAACTCGAAAAAAACGGTCAATGTTTATAAATATTCATATGTCATTCAACATTGAGATGATCTAGTGTCATCAGTTCGAGTTGTTTGGGCTTAATGGCGTTTATTTCTCTGAGTGTGTTTGTGAATGCATTAAACAACGATATGCCAATGGTTGTTTGCTTAGATTGAGAACAATAGATTGATTTGGTCCCCGCGAGCGAACGCTTCGAACGAACAGTGTCGGCCATTATCTTCTATTTATCTTTGTAGTGTGTCGATGTGCACTTCACACCAACACTAACAATGTAATACAAATTTAACCCTTGAAGATACACAACTGTGGCGTTAAATTATACTATGTTAAAATAACATATCGAAAGCATATTCAAAATAGGTAAAATTTACATTAAAAAATGGAACAACCGGAAAAGGTAGAAATAGGTATCCAAGGTGACACCGCCGAAGTTTTACCGTTAAAATCGGAAACCAATAATGCGGTCCAAAACATGAGTCTTATTGAAAAAATAAGGTACGTGAAATCTAATATAACGGTTGAGCCTGTTTTGGCTCTATTCGTGATGCCTAGTGTGTTGGCAATGTTGGCAACACAGAATTTAAATTTGGATAAGGCTTGTCGAGTGAATTTGGGATTCGGTGATAGTGTATGCGAAGATTTGAGGTTGAGAAACCGAGCGAACCACAGTTTCGAGGAGGATGAAGTACAGAAATTGATCGCGTCAGTACAAGCTTGGAAGAGCGTAGTTCAAACCGCAATACCAACCATATTGATGCTGTTCATAGGCGCGTGGAGTGATAAAACAGGGAGACGGAAAATTTGTATGCTAATGCCAATCTTCGGGGAATTCATGACGTGTCTCTTGAATATTGTGAACACGTATTTTTTCTATCAAGTCCCAGTGGAATTGACGGTGGTTATGGAAGTGTTATTCCCAGCGTTGACTGGCGGATGGTATACTATGATTCTTGGTGCGTTCAGTTATCTAGCTGACATAACTTCGAAGGAAACGAGGACATTCCGCATTGGCATTCTTAACTTGTGTATGACTGTTGGGTTTCCCATTGGTATGGGTTTGAGTGGGGTGCTTTTGAAACGTTTAGGGTTTTATGGCGTATTTACCATATCCGCCATATTGCAGTTTATAAATTTTTTTTACGTTCTATTTGTCATAAAAGATCACACTTGGCTGGAAAATAAGGAAAAGGTTTGTGTTATATTGTTGTAATCTTGATAACAAATATCTTTTGCTATTGAACGAGTCAATATTAATATGTAAATATTAATTTGTTTCAAAAAGGTAAAACGATATGGATGTAGTGGATTTCTATTAGACTTTTTCGATATTAATAGTTTAAAAGAAACAATGGAAATAGCTATCAAGAAAGGTATTAATAACAGGAGAACAAGGATATGCCTCATTTTAACTGTTGTTTTTCTGACATTCGGCCCAATGTGGGGTAAGTATTATATTACATAATTTTTTCCGAATACAACAATTCCAATATGCAATCTAAGAAATAAATATCAGAGTTACTTTATCCTGTTCGATAAAATGTAATTACCTATAAGGAAAAAAAAATGTAAACAAAAATATTTCTTTGGAATTAACTATTAAATACTAATTTCTTTTGTTATACTCCAATCTTTTTATGAATCGTAAAAAAAATTAGTTTGTACCTTTAAAATTTCTTTACGAATTCTGTTAAATTTGTTGTCAACGGACTTAAGTAGGTTTAAGATTTAGAGCAGTCGATTGGTAACATATTTATTCCAAAGAAAAAAGATTTGTGATTTTTTAAATAATTGCATTTCTTGTTTTTTTTTTTTATGTCTATTAAATTTTAATATGTATTATCCGCATATTAAATTTAATATATCTAATTTTTTTATCGTGATGATAGTTACTTTTCAATTTGTATATGATATTTCAGATTTTTTTAATATCTGATTCTTAGTTGCAAGTATTAAAGAAAATATCTATTAAGTATAAATAGTTGTTTATCAAAATAACTATTATAAATATTTATTTATAAAAATAGCTGTTCTAAATAGTCATATAACTAAATAATTGGTTTCTGCCCAATAGCTGTTATTTTCACTTAATGTTTATAGGTCAGTGAATTTCTCTCATTTATTTTTCTTATTATTTTCTCCTGCTTTATGAAAGGTCAGTTATAATTTTGTGTTCGAAAAACAGTCTCCATTGTTTGTAAGGTTTTTATTTCTGTCATATCAACAGGTGAGCTTAGTGTGGTATATTTATTCTCTCGGTACCGTTTCAACTGGGATGAGGTGAAGTACAGCATCTTCTCTACCTACAGTCTCATCACACACGCTATTGGTGAGTATAAGTAAGTATTACTCCTCTCCATCCAAAGGTTGCCTGGTAGAGATCGCTTTTAGCGATATAGTCGCCCATTGTTTTCTCACTGTGATTATTTCTTGTAATTGTTTTTATTTATAACAAGTTTATTATTTATTTATTTATAAATTACTCACCACATTTACAGTATCCCAAAACGTGTAGTGAACCATAGGTTTATTTTTTTAACAAAATTTTAAAAATACATCTATTTTGTCATTAAATATATCAATATCTAGCTGCTGAGCAATCAGAGAAATCTATCTAGAGAATCTATTGTAAACTTTTGGAGGAAACAATGAAGATTATCTATCTATTAGTATATATGTATGTAGGTAAGATATAGATATAAATAAAGCTTTTTACGGCAATGACCGTATCAATCCAGGTCATTGATCCAGGCAAAGAATGGGTTACTCCTTTCTTACCTGTGAGTGTCGTAAAAGGCCACTAAGGGAATTTAACGGTCGAGGAAATCGCAGCAGCGTCCCTTTTAAAACATCACCAAAAGCCTAATTGCGGTTGCCAATTCGCCTGCCATGTGTGGCAACTACTGGCAAAACCATCCTTGCGAGGGTATGTTTAGTAGTGGATAGTTAACGGCTGGTCTGATGAAGGCTTTTTATATACTTGTAAGATTTTTACCAGATACAATTTGATTTTATATTAATAATCCAATAAATGTTCCACTTTTGAACACGGGTTATGGATACAATGTTTTTGTTGTCGGTTAGAATTGATCATGACTTTTCAGAGTCTTTTTTTTATTTATGAAAATAAAATGGTAAGACTGATAGCGTTATATAATATTTCCCTGATATTCATTCATTATATTAGTATAAACTATTGAAGGGTGATAGGTGTAAGTAAGCCAATCGTGATTAATCAATCAGTAATTTAACTTCAGTATGATACAGAGAGAGCCAGCATATTGTTAGCAATGGAGCCAGTGCAGGGACTATTGGCCAATTATCAACAATTCTCTCTCCCTCGGAGGGTCGGTTAGTTAGAGTAGCATATCAGTAAGTTTCGATACTTTCAGTTTGCTTTCAATCGATGTGGTTAAGTGGTGAATTGGTTGAAAATTAGACGATCAATTTAACATTAACTTTTATTATTATTATTATATCAGCCATTAACTGTTCAGTGCTGAACATCGGCCTCTCCCATAAGGCGGATTTTATTAGTAGTTTCTACGCTTGGTAGGCGGGTTAGCAACCGCAGTTAAGTTTTGATGACTTTTGAGAGGGACTGATGCCATATTTTGAGTCGATTGCTTGGGTACGTCCCATTCGTGTTTCAACCGTGAAGCAGTTGTGTTTGCATGGCTGTGTTTCGGTTTGAAGGGTGGGATATGGCCTGGGTACAGAGGAATAACACCTAGTCAAATGGCAACCCAAACAGTATACTCTGTTATGTCCATGGTACTGTTCATGTCTATAGGCGACGGTTACCACTTTCCATCAGGGGATTGTTTGCCATTCTAAGAAAAAAAAAAAAAAAATTACCTACATAATATTCATAATTTCGTTAGGTACTCTTATATACTCCCGGCTTCATCATTAGTGTCCATTAAAGGAACTATTAATAATTTTTTGGCTAAAAATATTTGCTGTATGTTACGTAGATGCGTATCGGTGCTTATGTTCTTTCGTGATATGTAAAATCGATGGCGTTTTCAATGTTTAGATGCAACTGCAAAATATTTTTTTATTTACAGTATTTCCATAACTTACTAAGATGGCAAATAAGGGTATACAGTTTGCCTGATGATAAGCATTTACCGTAACCTTCTGACTTTTGCAATGCACGCGCGTTGTAAACACAAAATTCATTTTGTTACTTTTTTTAAACAGTTTTAGGTTATCATCATTTTAGCCGTTAATTGTCCACTGGTGAACATAAGCCTTCCGCATAAGAGGAGTTTTGCCTGTAGTTGCCATGCTTGGCAGGCGAGTTGGCAACCGCAGTTAGGCTTTTGGTGATGTTTTAAGTAGGATGTTGCTGCCCATCTCTTTACCATTAAGTTCCCTTAGTCGCCTCTTATGACACCCACGGGAAAGGATGAGGGGACCTATTCTGTGGTGGGACCATACGGGGAATTTTATGCTATAGTCTCTTGACAAAAATCGTAGTCGAGAGTTTGCCCCTCAGAAATATTTTCAAATTTGCCATCATAAACAGGTACACTATTCGCTAAGTGTGTTCAGCAAGAAGTTAAAAGCGGACGACGCTGTATTAGGAATGATATCTTCAACGAGCAAGATCTGTGGCGCCTTGGTAATGGCTTTCGCTAGAAACGACTACGAAGCGTATCTATGTAAGTACTTTGAAGTTTGCCAACGAAAAATTAATGCTCTTTTAATATTCAGCAAAACTGAACTTTGTTACTTGTGATCTAGTGCACCTTGGTAATCCAGGATCCGAGTTATGGGATGACCTGGTAAATCCAGCGTTATGGGAAATCTATGTAAATGTCGATTGAGTTGTTATCATAATGATATCATAGGTATATGTTAGTAAGAATAATATTTGGTATGTAACCACAATAATATTTGTTTGGATTCAACAAATATTGTCGAGAACAAGGAAAAGCTGTTTTTTTATGAATACGTCAGCCAAAAAATATATATTTCGTAAAACGTGCAAAGAAATTTAATAAATGATACGACCGTTGGAATGTTGCCATAAACCCGCATACAATGAAATGCATCAGTAGCATGCACTACGATCTCATTAAAAAAATATATTGTTGTCTCTGTGCTAGCTAGTCTGTACCGATATTAAAATTCTTAAATTATTAAACTGTATGTGCTTTTATCGCAGCATTCTTTAATCTGTGTTTTTCTACTTACTTTGTTACAATAGGCAAAATTTTAATAAATTAAAATTTTACCTATACACTCGTATATAAAAATCAACTGTTTTGTTGAGTTTCGCTAAAACTCAAAAATATTGGCTTGATAGATTTGAATACTTAATAAAATAAAAAAAAATCTGTAAATCTTTATAGTTCAGCTTAAAAATTGCTACTTTGAATGACTTTTGTTTACTTTGAATTACTTTATTAGTAATTATTGAATAATATAAATGTAAAAGCTTTAATATAAATATTGATACATAGTTGATCAATAAAAAGTGGTACCAAGGCGAGATTAATGCTATAGACACTAGCAGCCAACCTTTGGGAATTACAGAGATATGTATTTGAAGGTGATTTGTTTTTGTTAGATCATGGAACCTGTACTATACCACTGATTTGGATTTCGGATATGGAATATTCAATATCATTTAATAAAGTAATAAAATTGTCATTAAGCCACGTCTGCACATGGGAGATATTTAAGATAAGTCGACATCTTAATAAGAGAAATAGGAACTAAAACAATAATTTTTAAAAGTCTTGTATGTCTGTTTATTTGTATTGGCATCACGCAAGAAATATTGAATCAAATTGGATGCAGTTCTTACAGTTGTGATCCTGAAGGTCTGATTGAATATCTGGTATATGTTTTATCTGAACATGCTATCAAGAAGTAGTTTATTTCATTAGTTTTCCTACTTTTGAAATCCACGTGTACGAAATAGCAGGAAAAAAGCTAGTTACAAAATAAACATATATCAATAACATTGATTTTATCTGGTTTAATTACATCCTAGATATTTTGAATACGGGATCTGTTTGCTTGTACTTGATTCCAAACTAGATGTTCTATGTGAAATATTTAACTAGTTACCTTTGATCCTAGCTCCTGAAATAAGACCACCCTGATTTCAATTTGATAATCATCAAATCAGCCAGTTTTTAGTCCACTGCTGAACATAAGCATCCCTCATAAATTGGAAGGTTTAGTCAATAGTAGCTGCACTGGGCAGGCAAGTTGGCAACCGCAGTTAGGCTTTGGTGGTGTTTTAAGAAGGATGCTGCTGCCTTACCCTCGACCCTTAAGTTCCCTTAGTCGCCTCTTACGATACCCATGGGGAAGAAAGGGCTGGCCCATTCTATGCCGGGACTACGCAGCGAATTTCAACTCATTGAACTAGTTCAAATGGAAAATCAAAAGTAAAGTTTTAATGACCAAAATTTTTACTGGACTTTGTCCCGAAGAACTTTAAAGTTTACATTGAAAACATCCTTTGTTAAAGTCTCATTATAAGCGAAACGATTATATCAATGATAAAAATATCTGTCCAAATTAAGATTAACTCTCGTTAAACTTTTGACTTGTTTTCTAATTGTGTATATTAGTTAATAAATATTTTCTTACAGCACCACTAGTGGAAATATTAAATGGCACATCGAGTATAGCTTTAAGATCGATAGCTTCGAAATTGGTTTCGTATCAGGAACTAGGTAAGTTTGCTTTTATTCTTTTACTAGCTGAATTCTGGCTTTACCAGCGTGTAGTGTACTGTATATCGCGTGTGGTGGGACCACATACAAACTACTGAATGGATATAAATTAAAGTTGGTAAACGAGTAGGTTATATCCTGACTTGGTGCATAAGATACTGTATACACTACACTCATCATCATCATATCAGCCTTTAAATGTCCACTGCTGAACATAAGCCTCCCCCTTGGGGGCTATTGCCAGTAGTTGCCACGCTTGTAAAGCGGGTTGGCAACCGCAGTTTTAGAGACTTTTGAAAAGGGTCTCTGCTGCTCATCACTCGCTCTCCTTTAGTCGTCTCTTACGATATCCAAAGGAAGAGATGGCCTGTATATTTTTATATATTTTTTTTTATATAACTTAGAATGGCAAACAAGCTGAACGGCCCACCTGATAGAAAGTGGTAACCGTCGTCTATAGACATGAGCAGTACCATGGACATAACAGTGTATACTGTTTCGCCCATGATAGCCCCCATGCATTGCCATTTCTGAGGACTCAGGTGTTATTTCTCTGTACCCAGTAAATTCATGCCATATCCTACCCTTCAAACCGAAACACAGCCATGCAAACATAACTGCTTCACAGTTGAAACACGAATGCGAATTGAAACATGCTGAGACCACACCGTCAATTCCTTAGACATACACATATATAAATAAAATATATTCATAAAGATAGAAGTTACGTTTTGAATTAATCGATTGAGTAATGTTTCGTATGGTGAGAATTTATACATTTTTATTTTTATTTATTTATTTATAGAAAAACCAGGGCTACACTAGAGGAAATAGATACAGTTTAGAATCACAAACTAAGCCACAAATAGCAACAGTACAAATAAAAGGCGCTGCACACAAAGCAACAAAAATAGGAATTAATAAAAAAAAAAATGGAAACCAAAAACGGAATGACAAAAAAAAATAATAATGAATGAAATACAGAGTAAAAATATTATGCAACATATAATGGCAAACTGTTTGCTCTATAAGCGACTATAATATCTAAATTGTTTCCAGGTAAAGTGTTTTCTCTATTCGGAGTGGCAGAAACGATGGTGCCGCTGGTGTTCGCGCCACTGTATTCCCGCGTGTACATAGCGACACTCCACGTCCTGCCCGGAGCTATATTTCTGTTGAGTGTACTGTTCGTAATACCGGCGACGGTTATATTCGGGTACGACAGCACTTTTCAATCACTAATGTACGTTTTGTGTAAGGAAACAACTCAATTCGTCTATGTAATAAGTATCACCATAGAGTGATACGGAGTGTTGTTGTTTTATCTATGGTTTTATTACGTTTTTCGCGATGTTGTTCGCGCCGTGATATGTTTGTATTTTTTCCATGGGAATAAGGGAATATAAGTTTTATTCCTATATGTAATATATAAAAATATATATATTTTGTTGTATCAGCCATTAACTGTGCACTGCTGAACATAACCTCGCTTAAAAGAAGGGTTTTGCCAATTGGCAACCGCAGATTAGCTTTTGGTGTGTTAAGAGGGACACTGCTGTCTATCCCTCGACTATTAAGCTTCATTAGTCGCCTCTTACGACACCCTCGGGAAACGAATCTTTTATGGGTATTCTCAGTATTGCATTTGTTTATTATTAATTTAATAAAATATTATATTAATGTTATTCTTAATAGTAATTATGCTTCTGCTTTTTTAGCCACTTGTTGACTTTCAATCGATTTCTATATATATTTTATACAACTTAGAATGGCAAATAAGCTGACGGCCCACCTGATGGACAGTAGTAACTGTCGCCTATAGACATGGGCAGTACCATGGACATAGCAGAGTATACTGCTTCACCCATGATACGCCCTATGCGTTGCTATTCCTGAGGACTCAGCTGTTATTCCTCTGTACCCTGTAAATTCACTGCCATATCCCACCTTTCAAACCGAAACATAGCCATGCAAATACAACTGCTTCACGGTAGAAATACAAATGGGACAAAGGTATCCAAGCAAACGATTTTTGTACAAAGTCTCCCTCTGGTCTGGTCTATATATGTATTAGGTGTATATTTTTTATGTTTGTTACCTCATAACTCCCTTAGTTCTAAACCGATTTAGATAAAACTTTTTTTTTATCAGAAAAGACACCGGGAAGTTGAAGGAAGAAGGAAGGGGAAGAAGAAGATGATGATGATGAGATATTATGATGTTCATTATTATTCTTTTTTCATTATAGATGGTTTTACTGGATGCACAAAAAAGATAAAAAAGACAAACGATTGAACGGACCAAATAGCTGTGCAGGCGCCGATAGTTCTTCTCCTGTTACTGTGTAAACATGAGATCTAATTAAAATCTATGTATATTACTTGTAAACATTGGAGTTAGTTTTTAAGCATAATTTTTTATTTCTAAAATTTCAATTATATATTACAGCGAAATCATAATGATTTCGCTACAATTACTATATTATGCAATTTTAATGTGAAATTTGTGTTTCGTTTAACTTCGAAATTTCGAAAAACATTTCGTGGTAGACTCTCAGATTTGTAATCACGCATGCGTTCGGTAATCGCCCGGGGCCATATTGCCGGTTAGAGATGCATGCGCTATTTACCAATAGTAAATCCTTGTTTTTGTTACAAATTGTAATTTTAGAGACTTATGGAAAATTTATGGTTACGAAACGATCTTGAACATGTTTATCAAAGGATATATGAGTAATTTACACAAATCTTAAGATTTTAAACTATTTGGTTCATAAAAAATAATAAAAAAAAAATAAAACTAATTAAATATAACTTTTATTTTATATTATGGAGGAAGTTATATAAAAAGTTAAATAAAGAGGATAATAGTGTGAATTGGATAATAACGTTGTTTTATTTAATATGATTAGGTCTCAAGAAGAAGCCAATTAAATATGTTGACTATATTTTTATCTATTGATCTGTAAGAGTATTTTAATGTTTTACTAGTAGAATTAATAATAATTTATTTTTATGGTTATATCACAGTATAAATAATACTACTTATCAAGTTCGATTTAAAAATGTATATATATGGTTTTTATAATTATTTAAATCTTTTTTAAAAAGCACAGGTACTTTGTGCTTTTTTCAATTAAGCAAATGAGAATATTTTCAATTAGGCTTTTTTAAAAGTAATATCATTGTTAGTTCTGAACAAATTTTTATAAATTTATTGTAATTGTTGCTTACCAACAAATTTTACTCAAAATGTAAAATGTAATGTACTATTTTTGTAAAGCTAAATCTAAAATTACCTGAACATGCAATATAAAATGGGAGAAAATTCTCTTGTAAATAAAGGAACGTTAAGAAAAAGAGTTGTTTCATTTCATAAAGCCTTTAAAACTTATAATCTCAAAATGGAAAAACTATTTACTTTTAAATGTAAGTGCGGAGTAAAAAACTAGTTGCGAAACAACATAGATTAAGTACTTGCGATTGTCGCGTTTACAATTAAAGTCGCTTACGACATTTTTGTGGACCAATGTACACTTGTTTATAAGAAAAGGGATGCTTCTACCATATCAGTCATTCACTATCCACTGTTGAACATAGTCCTCCCCATAAGGGAGGTGTTGACTATATTTGCCACGCTTGGCAAGCAGATTGGCAATCACAGTTAGACTTTTGGTGATGTTTTAAGAGGGATGCTGCTGCCCATCCCTCGACTATTGAGTTCCTCTAGCTATCTCTTACGACAGGAAAGAAAGGGGTAGTCCATTCTATGCCGGAATCACACGTCACTCAAAAAGGGATGCGTCAATTGATTTTAGTTGCTTTTCATGTTGCAGTTTTAATGTTTATAACAACAAAAAGTACTTTAATACCTATACCATAAAATATATACGTATGATACAAACGGTAAAGGACTGCGTCGCGTCGCGCTTCACTCGTTCTCAATCTATGTCCGGAGCTAATCTGGCGTTATCAGGATCCTGCAGTATGGGATGAAAGGCTTAAATTGTAAATGTTACATCTATATTTACAAATTGTATAAATAGTAAGTCTATTACAAATAGGCGTATATAATATATTACAAACCTTAAATAATCCTTATTCATAAAAAAATTAAACGTCCTATGTACCTTTTTAACTTATTTTAACTGTACCTTTTTAGGTAATTTTTTTTCTTCTTCATCAACATCTCAGCCATTATCTGTCAGTTGAACATACATTATCCATAAAGAACGACCAGCCACTGGATCTGAACATACTGCATTTGAGGTCGTCACTCCATCTAGACAGTAGTCCTGCCATAAAGAATTTGTGTTTCAACCGTAAAGCAGTTGTGTTTGTATGGCTGTGTTTCAATTTGAAAGGTGGGATATGGCATGACTTCCAGCAGCAGTATTTCCGAACCGATACGACAACATAACCTTCAAGAAAAGAGCATATTTCTTTTTAAAAGGCCGGCAGCATACCTGCAATGCCGTAGGTTTGTGGTGACCATCAGTCACTTCCATCAGGTGAGCCGCATGGGGTGTTGTAAAAAAAAAAAATTACAGGATACAGAGGAATAACATCTGAGTCCTCAAGAATGGTAACGCATGGTAGGTATCATGGGCGAAACAGTATACTCTGTTATGTCCATGGTATTGCTCATAGGCGACGGTTACCACTTTCCATCAGGTTCAGATTGTTTGCCATTCTAAGTTATATAAAAAAGAGACCCGTATTAGGTTGCCACTCAAGAATCTTTCCCATCGGTTGTCAGATTTTAGAGCTATGTAAGCAGTCCTTTATATATTTTTATACTTAGTACCAAATGATTTGGTTATATCATCATCAACATCATCATATCAGCCTTTAACTGTCCACTGCTGAACATAAGTCTTCCCCTTGGGGGGTTTTGCCAGTAGTTGTCACGCTTAGCAGGCGTATTGGCAATCGCAGTCAGGCTTTAGATATTTGGTTATATACCCTTTATAAAACCTATTGTATAAAAAAGCTACTGTATTCGAGGTGCGAAATTGAATACACCAGACTTACGCACTATACAATATTACGTTGCTAACGATATTACCGTGTGACCAGATGATTCGGTTATGTAGCGGTGCGATGAGTAATTGTAATTTAAAGCGCTGAATACGTTAAAGTGTATAGTTAGGAGTGTAAATGTGAATGTAGAAATTCTAGAACACTTAGATGGTGATTGCTAATAACAATAAATAGTTTGTAATATTCGAAAAATTAATAAAAAAAATTACGTTTATATTACTTAAAAGCAATTAGCGAGCGAACGATAATGCTTCCTCTGTAGAGCGATTTAGGAACTAAAATTAATATGTCTACACATATTGTGTATGTATTTTGCTCAAGAGCATTTAAGTCATCTTGTGATTAGAAAGTATTATCTGTATTCCAAGGTTTCGCCCACATGAAATTGTACATAAAATATCCTTTCTATTAAGTTTGGATATATCCTACTCGTGTAACAAATTTCATTCAAATCCATTCAGTAGTTTTTAGATGAATGAGTAAAAAAAATCCATCTGTCCTCGAATGTATTATATCAATAGGATTAGAATGTTTCGTTTTATGTAATAAATGCATTATTTTTTAATTTAGACAATCGTTCCCGAGTTTGCACTCTCCTTTTACTGTCGTATTATGTTTTCTTCTTTTTTTCTAGTGACATTCTGATGATGAAAGCCATTTCGTTACTACACGAAACCAAATAATTAGAAATATTCCTATCTGTCTACCTATCTCTCTCATTAATTTGACTATATCTGATGCACACTACATAGAGAGCTATGGCTGACAACGCGAGGTTTAATTCAAAGGTAAATGCATAAAGGATACAGGTATCTACTGGCCGCACGTAAATCAAATTTTAAGTGGCGAACGGCTCCTCTTTTGTACGTATCGGTGCATGTACCGCCGTGTAAAATGACGAGCAAGACCTCGATAATAAAATTAACCCCTTTTAATAAATGCTAAAAAATGGTGAATAACGTTTTTCGATAGTCTAAAACTAAAATTATTTTTATTATTATATCGGCCGTTAACTGTCTATTGCTGAATATAGATAGATAGATAGATAAACACTTTTTCTCAAACATACTTGGAAATGTGAGCATTATTTTGACAAACTTCTTAGAGATAAATCAAAATTGCCGTACTGGCCAGATACATGCGGGCATCGGCCGGCAAAAGTTGTATGAAAATCCATATCTGTCGTTTTTTGGGCCCAGATAAATTACTATGTAAACTCATATCTGTCCTGTAATTTAAAAATGGAATGATCTTTTACTTCGAAACATAGCTACCAAGGAGGTAATTATTAAAAGGTTTTATTTAAATTTCGAATTGGCTTGCAAATAGGAAGTTGTTTATTGAAAAAAAAACAAAGGAACATTATGGCGCGTGAAAAATTTTTATTGTTCGTTATTCGTCATTGAACTTAAAAAGTAAAATTGTGTTTTTGATTTCCGCGCATTGTTTGAGAAAAGTACTATATAAGGCTTGGCCACAACTAGGCATTGATGGACTCACGTATGTGTGCCTTGGCTACGCCTCGGCCCACATTTGCACGTTCGTCCATCAATGCCTCAGTTGCTGGCCGCTGCAGTAATGTACTATATTTGAGCCATTTATGACACACATAAATTAACAAATGAGTTCATACAATTAAATTATATATAGGCTATGTCCATAAAGGAATTTTTTCAGTAGTTGCCATGCTTGGCTTAGCAGGTGGCTTGGAAACCGATATTTGGCTTTGGTGATGTTTTAAGAGGGACGTTGCTGTTCATCCCACGGCCATTATGTTCTCTTAGTCGCTTCTTACGACATTCACGGGAAAGCGAGGGGTGGCCCATTCTATACGGGGGCCATATGGCAGTTTTACTTCGTCAATGTGATCAGTATACGTTGATAGATTGTTGGAAAGGTGGCCTATATTTTTCTTCAATCCAAGTTGGTGGGTGCATACTAAATTTCACAATGTTTGGTTGAGCCGTTAAGGCGTGAATTTACTGGGTACAGAGGAATAACACCTGAGTCCTCAGGAATGGCAACGCATGGGGGGTATCATGGGCGAAACAGTATACTCTGTTATGTCCATGGTACTGCTTATGTCTATAGGCGACGGTTACCACTTTCCATCAGGTAGGCCGTCTGCTTATTTGCCATTCTAAGTTGTATAAAAAAAAACATAAAAAAATCATAAAAATCGCCAAAACGAGAAAAACACGGTGATACAACATTTTTATAATTTTTTATTGCCATTTTAGTGCCATTGATTTTTACTCATATCTAATTAAAAATGCTAAAGAAATCTTTGTCGTGTTGATGTTAATTACCCTTGTCTCTAAAAAAAACTGTATCTCCTCCAAAAAATATCCAATTTTAATAATTTTTCTGCAACGAGCTAAATAGCAACTGATTTCACGAGTGCTATGGCGCTCGTGGTACTTTAGTTACAATGCGCACGAGCGCGATGGAGGTCGTCGACACTTAAACGATTAAGATGCTAGTAAACAAGTATAGAGCCCGCCTGATGGTAAACTGGATTACTGTAGCGTATAGATGCCTCCAACACCAGGGATGTAACACACGCGTCGCCGTTATGTAAAATTAATATTATATCGAATAATGAATTATTTAAAATGTACAAACGTGAATATTATTTATACATGTTTATATATGTTTTTGTCATATGTATATGCTAATTTTTCATCTCAATTGTTCGCTTACTCAGTAAACACAACGCTACATAGGGTCTTTGTTATTTGTTAAAAAAAAAAATACCTGTATATTTTACTTTCTAACCGTAGCTGTGTTGTGTAAAAGCGAATGTTCCAACGTGGTCCGTTTTAGCTTTGGGCAGATTTATGCTGACAGTACTTTGTCTATGCTCTCGCAAATGAAGAGGAAATAGATGTTTCTCTGCATTGTGTATGGCCGAGTCCACGTACAATGGTATTATAGTGTATCTACAGCTTTGTAAAAATATAAAATACTAGCTGATAGCGGCGACTTCGCTTGCGTGGAATTGAGTTATATTATACTTACTTGAAAAATGATTACTACACAATTATTACTATACAAACTTTCATCCCATAGCTTATCAC